CCTTGAAGTAGAATTTGGCTGATTGGGATTTGTCAGAAAAACAGGCAGAGGTGACTAAAGTAGAAATAGTTAGGAGAAGAGACAAATGCTAACAAAAAACATGTGTAAAGAGTTAAGTGCCCAATTCATCCATTCATGGTCTTGTTAGGTTAGCTTACATTCTACTCAGCTTCTGTTACCTTGTTACCATCCATCACTTTTATAGAACAAAGATTTAGCCACAAAGCCAGGTACCTTCTCCTCCATAATACATATCCTGTACCAGGAAACTTAAATGCCAAGTAATATGAAAGGGATCAGTTTTTAACCACCACATCCACCCCTGGAAGTTCTGAGCGATGCTCCTGCTAACAGAAGTCAAAACCCCAGTCCCACAAAACATAAAAAATCTGCCTTAATTTATCCTCTTTCTCATTTTCTGTAACATAATCTGTGGGGAAAAAACATGTCTTTTTTACTCCTGGACTATCTTAAAGTGAAAGAGGGGGATAGTCTTTCTTTTGTTCTTCTTGGCTTATTTTATATTTAAAGAACTCATTTGATAGTCTAGACATAATTTGAATTCTTTCTCTTTTAAAAAGTTAAATTTTATTTGCATTCTTTCTTGAATTAATTTTTGAGCTGCAAAAATCTAACTACAGATGAGCAAATCTATGTTTCATGAAACTTAATGTAAACTATTATCTTGAGGTAGAATATTCTTCCTTAGAAAATGAGGAGGAACTAGAGGAAATGAGGAAAACAGGATTTTGCAAATTTGGCTACTTGTTTACATGACTGAATATGCATGGAAAACTAATTACTAATTTTAGGTATGTATTTTGAAACTTCTGATACGACATTTAAAAAATATCTTTTAAAAAAGAAAAAAATGCTTGTTTAGAAATGTACTTCTAATAAAAAGCACTTTCATGCTGGAGACATGTATTGTCATTCAGAACTTAAATTCATTTGTTCTGGTATATGTGACAGTTTAGATCCTCTTTCTTAAATTACTCTGAGACAATCACCTCTAGTTGTTTTTGGTATGGAAAAATAACTCTATTAGTGATGAAAATCTGCAAATGCTTCTTTGTTTGCAGCACTGTCTTGCTAAACAGCTTTGTTTTGCCAGGGGAAGAAGAAAGGCAGAGCTCAATTAAGTTGCCTCTTACTCCATGCCGGAATGGTTACAAAGGCTAAGATAGTTGGGTGTCCAGACACAAAAGGAAACTCAGTCCCGAACGTTGGCAACTTGTGCCATTTTAGATCACCTTTATATATCCTGCTCGGCCTCCAACTGCCATTTTAGCATAGCGCAGGTCTCCCACAGGTCCTGCATCATGCCTGCCAACTCCTGCGTGACTATCTTGGATACCCAGAGAGACATCATGATATGAGATCTACAAAGGCACTAGATAGATGTGTTGGACTTATTCAGCCACCTGCATCCCACCCTGGTGGAAGCTGCTGTTGATGGACAGCTTGCTAGGAAATTTGTTTGCAGTGTTCCATAACCATGGTTGCCATGTAGCTGCAATAACCACGTCAATGCACAGACAATATGCACTGACTTTTTCAATTTTGTGATCTGTTCACTGAGACAATGTTGGCTCAGAGAAGTGACTCTGTTCTTGTGGAGTAGGAAGTATACAAAGTACACACAATATTTACAAAGTATCTTAGTACTATTTTGACTAATTTTTACTGGAGAGTTAGTGGTTGTTTCAAAGGTAGATTAGTCACTTTGTCCATGATTATAATCTCTCGAAATCTGCTTCAGCATTTTGAATTGTCTTCAGGCCTAATGGTCAGAAATTGGCTCCATCCCAATCTTAAGACTAAACTTGATTAGTAGCTCTGTAGATCTCATCCTGACTTATAAGTGAAAGGTGAAACAAAGATGGAGTGCTGTGTATAGAAACCTGTGCCATCATAAGCTGCATCTGCATGCAAACCTGCATAGCATTATATTGGATAACTGGGTATTTGGAGCCTGCACATGAATTCAAAGCACCACAACTTTCAGGAAGTAAGACAAAATTGACAATAAATGTTTGAATAGACTTTTTATAAAAACTCTTCTGATTAGTATTTTGGAGCTGTGTTATAGATTGCTTAAAAATGTCTTAACCATGAAACACTGCGTAAGGAACACAAGCATGCATCAGCTTGCATGTGACACGCTTTAGCACGCTTGGAGGTACAAAGAAGTTCTGGCATTGTGGAGAGGCAGTGTGTATGTACATTGTGTGGGAGGATATATCATGCAGATTTGATTGCATCATCTTGCTCTCTTTTCTTTTCTTTTCTTTTTCTTTTCTTTTCTTTTCTTTTCTTTTTCTTTTCTTTTCTTTTCTTTTCTTTTTCTTTTCTTTTCTTTTCTTTTCTTTTTCTTTTCTTTTCTTTTCTTTTCTTTTTCTTTTCTTTTCTTTTCTTTTCTTTTTCTTTTCTTTTCTTTTCTTTTCTTTTTTCTTTTCTTTTCTTTTTCTTTTCTTTTCTTTTCTTTTCTTTTTTCTTTTCTTTTCTTTTTCTTTTCTTTTCTTTTCTTTTCTTTTCTTTTCTTTTCTTTTCTTTTCTTTTCTTTTCTTTTCTTTTCTTTTCTTTTCTTTTCTTTTCTTTTCTTTTCTTTTCTTTTCTTTTCTTTTCTTTTCTTTTCTTTTCTTTTCTTTTCTTTTCTTTTCTTTTCTTTTCTTTTCTTTTCTTTTCTTTTCTTTTCTTTTCTTTTCTTTTCTTTTCTTTTCTTTTCTTTTCTTTTCTTTTCTTTTCTTTTCTTTTCTTTTCTTTTCTTTTTTCTTTTCTTTTCTTTTTTTCTTTCTTTTTTTTTGTTTCAGATGGTAAAACAAAGACTGTAGTGAAACCCGTTTTCTCCCATGAAGAGGTGGGAGGGAATTTTATATGAGTGAGGAACTTTGTCTCAAGTCGAAATCTGGGGCCTGGACTAATGAACTCCCTGTAATTCACATTGTACTAAATATTGCTGAAACTAGGCATGTACTAATCATGAACCAAGACAAACTATGCATAATTACTATGCTTTCTCTGTAGCAGTAATTAATTTGCGTTAGCAACCTTGATTAATCTTTCTAATCTAAAAGTAAAGTGCTTCTCAGACATGAAAGGCTCTGTACTTGCTCAGGGTTGTTCCTGCAGCCCAGTAAAGGGTGTTTCAATTCAGTGGGGGGCAGGACAGGGACAAAACTTACAAAAATCAAAGTATAGCTGATATTTATGAACTAATAAAAACTATTAACAGTTAACGCAATCTGTTTTTCCACGGAATTCATTGTCTAAGCTACAGGGCCCCTCTACACAGTAAGTTCCTCCTGAAAGGGAGTTGTCATTAATTCAGGAAGAGGGCTTCTCTGAGAGCTATTCCACAAGGATGAGGGTTATATGCCGAACAGAGGGACTGAGAGTCCACCCAGTAGAGGGCAATGCTATGTATTTATCGTTTGTAATGTTGCAGTGCAAACTTACCCATAAATTCAATTTAGTCTTAACCTGGAGGGAAGCATTGTTCTAGGCATGATTGTTCAGCTGTGGTATTGAGTCAGCCCTCACCGGCAGGGCGTCAGTTGTGTTGCCTGCAAGTGACTCGGACATATTTGCTTTTCAGGAAACACATATGCTAAGCTCATCAGCCTAGACTATGTTGACAAACAAAGAGCTATCAGATGCTAATGTACAAACTAATTCTGACAGCACCGGAGATTACAGTTTCCATACTTCATTGCCAACCTCCTGGCCGAAGCCAGACTCTTCACCCAAAGGAATCCGAAACTGCTGAACAGACTTATGTTATCAAATGGTGATTGTGACTGACCCAGACTTCGTAAACTACCACACCTACAAGAGGTGATATTTCTCAGGCAAATAGATGTGTCTCTACAAATCCATTACAAATCCCATAGGGTTTTTAAGTTAACATTGTGTTGCTGGTTTTCTCCCTTGGACATGCTATTTTTTCCTGTTTCCCCTGTTAGCATTGTTTCCTGGCAAGGAATACTGTTGCATGTAATTCATGACAGGCAGAATGACATGATAATCATTTGGATATGGATAGTCTAGAAATTACTAATGAACTTCAGTTTGATTTAGATAATTAAAAAAATAATGCTGCTATTACCTCTAAGTCTGGGATCAATTCTGTTTTCGCAAGTTAGAGAAATATTTTTAAAATACATAACTCATTAGGAAATACAAATGTGATTCCTAGAATTTATAATTTTTTACAATGCTGATTCAAAAAGCATCGTATTATTTGTGATCGTTTATTTTCGTATAGTTGTGGTTTGTGACCAAATATTTTATAACCAAAAAGCTACCCTTTTGGTATCAGTCAAAATAGACAATATATATTGATGTTGAAACAAGCTTTGTAGAAGACATTTTTTTAAATCAGGCATGGGACTTTACATTTATTAGAAGGTGTTCACAAAAATAAGGGTAACATCATGCATATTCTTTGCAACTAAACTCAGTTATTTTTACAATTTGGAAATAAATTTAAATAGACATTTGGAGACACAGTAGTACATATACACTCTATTTATGACATTAAGTTAGTGTATTGATAACTCTCAGCAATACATCAGAAGTCTAGAACCAGTCGATGGAAAGATAGTATAAGGAGTAAGTAACTGCTTCGATTTCTCACATTATTTATGTGGCTTGACAAGAATGTCAGTGTGATTGGCTCCTAAATTCAGGAGGCAAGAACAAGTCAAGACTATACTTCTGCAGTACAAAACATTTACGCACAAAATACACATGCATTGCAATGCATTGGAAATGGGCAAAGCAAGGAGAAACCCATTACTCAATGCTTTATTAACACAGTTCTACAAAGGAGTCTCAAATAGGATTATATAGTTCAGTCACAGTAAGGCCACAATATTACAATGGATAAGGACCTCCGAATTCAGCATCTGTGTGAGTAATAGAACCCTTCCTTCTTTATAGCTTTTTATACATGTTCCTGAATGGTACCTCTTTAAAGACCTTCTTCTATTTTTTTCTTTTTTTTTTGTAAGTTTAATATATTGCTTAATACAACAGTTAGCACAGAAGAGAAGAGTACTGTCACAGGGAAAACAAAACCTATGCAACATTCAAGTAGTTTTAGACTATACGCTAGGTGCACTTGGATGAAGCTGGCTAATCAGAAAAAAGACTAGCAAAGGATTTCCTCAAGTTTCGAATAGTTTCAGCTTTTGCTTCATCTTCATTCACAGATGACCGGAAGAAGGATGATTCTGTGAAACTGAAGGCATTTGTCAAAGACTGCGACTTGCTGCAAGACAAAAATGCAACATGTTTTGTATGGCCATATTGTCCACCAGCTTCCATCCACATATAACTTGTATAAATTATGAGAAAAGGAAAAATGACCATAAGATGTAGACAGTTTGCATGAGAACAAAATGGACATTCAACACAAGCAATATAGTAAGATGTAGCATACAAAGCGGCTGCAACACAGCACATTCCTTCTGTACTTTGATTTGAGAAGGAGGATGATCTTTTCTTTAGAGAACACACTGCGCTTTTCACAGATCTGGAACATCACATTCCAGTAAATTGGACAATATAAATTAGAACTTGAGGAAAAAGTGGGCTTGCCTGCTAAACCCAGATCACCACCCAGCACAGGATGATTAATACTTGTGTTTGTTAAGGCTGCAAACAGTTGCGGACAAAGAAAAATTAGGTGTATTGGCAAGAGTTTGAATCCTGAAGTTGTAATGTGCTCTCTCTCTCTCTCTCTCTCTCTGTCTGATATTTGATTCTTAATGGAGGCTTAATAAGACTTTATATCTTTAAAAAAATTCCCCAAATCAGATATAATTTTTCTTCTCTATAAGCAGTTAGTCCAGCAATGCTATTCTGTTTTTGGTGGTACCATGTAACCATGGTGTAAGTTTCTGTAAGCATGAATAAAATAACATACTAGAAGGAAAACATTTGAAGTTTAAAACTGTAACTCATGACATGTCAGATAAAATAATATTTAAAATGTAGGCTTGAATTTAAAAGGGAAACATTAATGAGTTATAACCTTTTTACAAAGACATCCATGCATTAGCAAAACTAACTAGCTGATCTCATTTTTACCTCAGTGCAACAACAGGATTTCAGTTTTGGCTATAGTAAAATTGAAACATTTTTCTTATTCAGATTGTCTTTACACTCTTCATGGTTTGCAACTTCTCTGCCTCTAAACTAATAGTGTACAGCAAACAGCGCTACGGGCGTTTTAGGTTTTTCATAAATTATAGTTGTGTTAATGAGAATAGACTGATAAATGTTTGTTTGTACTCACTGAAAGAGGGAGGGTGGGAAGCAGCACTTGACTTGATTAGTAACACAATAAGTAGCCTAATTAAATATTTATTCACAGATTAATAACATGTACATACAGGTTAGGCAACAGCATGTGGGTGAATACAAAGCATACACATGCAAATAGAGTTAACCCTACAGGCAGGAGATCTGAGTCTTGGTATGGACCTTAAACTACTTCTTGAAAGTTAGAAAAATTACTCTTACTACAGCTCACATCTTAAAAACTGTAATTTCTCCTTATTTAATTTACTTTAAAAAGAGACTATTCTCTTCCATTTGAAGAAGAGAAAAATTAATCTAGATTTGAACAAGGAACTAAAGGAAAGGGAGAAAGCTGGGAAACAGTATGTGGTACAGGTCTTCTGTACCTGTTCTTAACTGCTTTTCTTAAATGTCAGAAGTTCACAAGCTAACTTTCAAACTATAAACCAGTTTCCATGTTGCTTAAGAAAATCAACCTCCCTGTTCTCTACATATACTTGAATGATGGATGAATTAGTTTGAGGTTTATGATTATAAAACAGAATAAGGAAATACACTGTCCTAGGAAGGCGAGGAAAATATTGCCATCTTTGCAGACTGTCACCTAACACGTCTTTTCCACTGAATTATGCTCAGGTCAGGACTCAGAATTGGTTCACACTAATTATGAGTTGGGTGGAAAAAAGGGGACTGTGTTACTTGGATATAACAAAGACTACGTGCCAGCCTTTGTACTCACCAAAGTAAGCCAAGTGTGCCTGTGACCCTACCAGCCACACTGTGTCAGGATCACCATGCTGAAAGCCAGCAAATCATTGCTAATACCTTCCTCATGTTCCCTGGGTCTGAGCTGTGAGGGGGCATATAGCTACAGGTCCTTTCCAGATTCACTACTGCAGCAGGCGGCTGGCAAGGCAGAGCAACTCCAGCACGCTGTGCAGTATGGAGTCGGCCAGCAGTGAGACAACTACAGAAAGTTTTCTGTGCGAGTCCTGCTCTCTGGAAAGGGCCGGGGTGAGCTGCTTGTGCTGTACAGTCAGTAGCAATGTATAACCACGAATGAAGAGTGACCGTAAAGAAGCACAGTGTGGCAGCCACTGTCCAGCATGTTCGTTTGGATTATTTCTGAGATAGACCTTCTGAAACGGGAATCTGTTGTCTGAGTAACTGCAAGGTTAAAAGTTTAAATAGATAAGACTTCCTCTTTTCTGTGCAGGCTTACAGCACATCCAGATCATGAGTCAGTGACATAAAAAAGGAGAAAACAAATACAAGAAAGATGATGAGTTTTCAGACCTAGTTGGGGCAGAAATTGCACAGATAAGAACCGAAATTTTGTGTAGTGCTTAGGATATAACTAATGAGCCTATCTTACTAATCATAAACAGAGAATAAGCGTTTTGAAATGTTTTATCTTCATTTCAGATGTGGGAACATATGTACATTTTTTTTCTGAAAATTAGACCAACTCCCAAATTATGGTTACGACAACAAAATCTGTGTTATGAGGAGACAAGAAGATGGATAAAGCAAATCTTACTTAAGTTGTGGATGAGACTGAGGCTTCTGTTGTGGAGCAGGCTGTGGAGCTGGCTGAGGAGCTGGCTGTGGAGCTGGCTGTGGCTCTGCTTCCTTTGATAATCTGGTGCTGGGAGGACCTTGAGCCTGGGGACGTGGTTGCTGAGTTGTAGGTCCAGGTGGACGCTGTGGCTGGGAAGTTGAGGGCTTTGCTGACTGGCCAGGGGGGTACATGCGCTGTGGCTGCAATGGCTCCTGGCTTTGTGATTGCATTCCTTGGGGTTGCACTGGGCCCCCTAGGTTCAGTACAAGAAAAACTTCATAATGTTATAGTATTAAAGAATTCATATTAGATTTTATAGCCAACACTTTAAAGTAACCCTTGAATGTGATTAATTCTACTTTTGAAGCAAAATGCTATTAATATGGACTGCAGTTTTATGTAGTCAATACTACTAATCACAGTTGGTACATTAGTAACTTGCTTGGAGCTCCTATGATTGGTCCTTAAAATTGCTAAGAAGTACCAAATTCATCCCAGCAGTAGTGGTACTGACCTCAAATCAAATCAATGGAGTTACACCCAGTGTAATTTTGGCCCAGCTCAAGGAGAGGCTGCGAGATAATTGAATTTACCAGTAACATTTATTTCAGCAATACAGCTACTATCTTCTGTGTAGTTATTCTGTTTTGTTCCTCCAAAGTTTTAAAATTATTTCTGTAATATTTCTCTTAGATTCACTCTTATAGCAGTATACTAGCTTTACGCTGAAATTTTCTGGCTAATTTAAAGTCTTTTGATAACTTACTTAATCCCTTAGTGAAATATGTCAAGAACATTACAAGAAACGCAAGAAAGCCATTACTAATTCTCTACCAAGGAGATCTTTCCACAGAGAAGGAAGTATACTGGCAAAATACTGTATCGAGTGTGAAACTACGTGTAGTAGAGACTTTGGTTGTGAAATCCATGGCTGAAAGCTGCTACATCATCATACAGCGGCTTTATTTTTTGCTTTCTGACTGACACAGTGCTGTGTCAGGTATCAGTGGGCATGCTGCTTTTATCTCCTGTCAGATGTCTGAGTGTGGTTTTCTGGGCTGACAGTTGTTACAACTGAATCTTTATTCTTGCACGTGATAAGGCACACAGGACATCTGAGTTAAGGGGAAGAAAGGATAGGATGAAATTCTGAGCCATTTCCTTGTATAACGTTTCAGTCAGGGTAAGAACTTTGCTGACCAGTAAATACTATAGAAGACAACTGATCTAGATGTTCTGTACATTTTTAGTCTTACACAGATAATTAGTGCAAGTAAAAGACTTAATCTATTCAGGTCTCTAAAAGAAAACCTTTGTATCTGGAAGTACTGCTGTAATACTTTTTTTTTTTTTTTTTTAAATTAGTTAGCTTTCCACTTTCTGTATGAGATTCCAGTGTATGTCTGAGAAAAGCATGTCCTAATGCTTCAGTAAGTTTTAATACAGTTGTAGCAGTGTGTTGTGGTGTAGAAAGATAAATAGCACGTACTGTATGTTAAGGAATGTGCCTTCATTGTTTATTAATTTGAACCACTTTTGTAGGAAATATTTGAAGGTGATAACATGGTCTTGCAACATCTTAATAAGGATCATTTTCTTATTAGTCTCCTTTCACTCAATATTGAAAACTAGAAAGTTTTCTTTCCCCCACTTGTACATACAGGCTTGAATGCCAGAAACTTTACACTGAAGACAGATATAACTTTCTTTTATTGCACATTAAGCTGTACAAGATATTTCACATAAAAGATATACTGCTGTCACACTTCCAGCATTTGCTCACTTTCTTGCAGCTGGGTTGTACAAAAGGCAACAATCATGAAAGAAACTTTTACCAAAAATAACTCAACAAAACTGAACATTAAGCCTACACTGTAAAACATCTGTTCCCTGTTACCCACAATATTGCACCTAAGCATGCTTACATGCAGAGAGACATTTTGGCTTGCTTCTTGTCTGTGGTATGTAGTAATAGTGTGTGCCCTGGTAAATTCTTTAGTCAACAAGCTAAAATCCTATCTGAAACACCCATCTCTTCTTTGCACACACAACTCACAAATGTCGTGTGAAAAGCACTTGTGAATACTTGTACTACTACATGCAAAAAATATCAACTGCTTTAAATAAAATCAATCATCAGATTCATTTCTTCACCCCAGGGCAGCAGGGTTTATTCACTTCTCTGGTGTCTGGAGGTAAGGATTTGTGAACCTGATTCTATGTGGAATTTTCTTAGTATAGGACAAAACAGCCAATGCCATCATAGGAATGATCACTGACCCAGACAAACGCTGATCACTAAAGCAAAATATTCATGTAATTTACTGATAGGTAGTAAACAGTAGCACTTACCACAAACATTTAAATAGCTAATAATGCATACCTTAATTCTCATCTTACCAGCCAGCTTGTACAAATAAAAGAAACACTAAGAATGATGATTCTCACTGATAATTTTTTCCAGTGTTTGTAGGGAAAACAGAAGTAGAACATAAGGCTGTTTTCCCTTTAAACAGAACTGTTTGCACTAAACTAATGGCCACTACTCATCTTTGTACATATTCAAGATTAAAATTATAGTTTTGTGGCTTATTTGCAACTAAGCTTTATGGTATGCTAGCAGTGTGTGGCTTGTGATTCTAGGCTAGATCTCTCACAACAGATTAACTGCCTGCCTGTGTATTTCTCGTAATATTAAATTATAAATTGGGTATGCAAAAATCACAAATAATCTACCTATAGAAAATCTAGCAGTTGTCAGGCATCTCAAGTCTTTTTGCATGTTTGATTTCAAGCAATTATAAAACCTATTTATGTGGATAACGCTGGGACTGAATTTTCTTTATAGCTATCTGGCTATTTTTAGGTTTAAAATATAGACCTGAGTTGGTAAAGAAAACTGCTGACATTTTTTGTCTTGCATTCTGATCAAAGGGCAAGATCCCTTAGCTGTTTAAAGGTACCTTGGTCTTTCTTCTCCTAACATCTCCGTATTTGAAAAAAATGAGCTCTTACGGGAAGTTTAACAGTCCTCGAGGTACTTCTCACCAAATAACCTGGGATTTAACTCTTAGGTAAGTATAAGATTGTTGAAAGTATTTGCATTAGTTTTCATTAAAAATCTCCATAGATTACTAATTCAGAATGACAGCAAAATGTACTACTTAATTGAAATAGGATACAATAAATACGCATGCTTTCACTGAGATATTGCACATAGGTGGCCCATTTACATAGCTTTGTAGCTAATAATTTAATGCAGAATTACTAAAAATATGAATACCAGTATGTAAAATAGAAGATATTTTAAATATTCCTTGGGAAGAACTGTATCTTATGGAGTCACTGAAATATTAGACTTCCACTTGCGTATAACTCAAATGTTAACAAACTTTATAAAATTATAAATAAAAAGCCTCACTAGCAAATTCTAAACTAGACTTTTAAAAATATATATGGATCACCTACCTATTAGTCATGCACACGCACAAAAAAATAAAGGCTATGAGTACAGTGTGCACACACTCACAGAGTAAGCAAAAGTATTTAGATATGAACCTTGGTGGTATTTTACTTAACGATATATAATACTCAAAAAATACTGTCTAACTATCCATACTGTACAGTTGCACTGGGCTCTAGAGAGGCACATTCTTTGTACACTGTTGACAACAGCCCTGAAATCACAGATTTTACAGAGAAAGGTCAGTAAGCATTATACGCACAGACATGAACAAGTAAACAACCAGACGGTATAGTTGACACTGCATAGAAAAAACACAGTCCAGGTCAGCACTGAAACAATGCAAAAATTGAACAAAACTGGTATGTTTGCTTTTAAGATTGTATGTTTGTTTCTTTTCTTTTTTCATTTTCACTTTAACCTTTGCTTTTAGTCTCAATTATCTAAGTAGCCTGGACTTGTTTTGGTCCTACTGCAACGCCATTACAGTCGAGAATGTACTGTAAACAACCTTGAGGTGGTGGTCGCTGAGGTGGGATTTTGTTTGGCTCTGGCTCCTTTAGAGATCCACTCTGGAAAATACATTTCAAAACAGAAAAGAAAAAAAATTAGAGTAGCTTAATTCCAATTTTCCACTAATTTGTCTTTATTTTCATTAGAAAACTCTTTATTGGTTGGGGCCAAACATATACTTTTAATTTATTCCAGATAACATTTTCTAATTTACTTGCTATCTGACATGATATATGAATCCTGGACTAATCTAAAGCTGAGTTCTTCAAAAAAATTGTCCTCCCTTTGCAGCATGTGAACATGACATCAGGAGTGCCTTCTCAAATCTCATGTCTGTCTGTGTACAGTCTTTCTCCTTCAGTTCCTAGCACCTTGAATGACTTTTCTCTCTCATTGCTTCTGCTCTCTTTTTTAGCATAGATTGAATAGGAAATGGACTTCAACAGATATCTTTGTGTAAGTTAAGAAATAATTTATTTTTAATTACATTCACTTGTATCTGGAAGCACTAGCACAGCGGGATTTTTTTCGTAGTGATAGTTTCACTTTGATTTGCTGACTGTAGATGGGAGGGGACATGGACTGCTCTAGGTTAGCTGTTTTGCTAAGCAGAATGAAAGAAGGAAGCAAAAACCACAGACAAATAATAAAAATAATGGAAATTACTTCATGCTACTCAATCTAACATGTTATTAGAAACACATGTAATACTTAACTTTTCAAAACAGGAGATTTATTTGGTAGTATCCTTTTCAAATGTATACTTGTCCAGAGGAAAAGAGGAGCCTGAATCAAAACCTTGGACCAGAACACCCTCTGGGAACATTAGTATTTGAATCTAAACTTTGTCTTAGGCCCATCTCTAATATTTTGAAAAGTAAAATATGTTAAATCATTGGACATAATAGCATGGGGATTTTTTTAAGGATCCAGAAATTAAATTGCCATCTGTCAAGAGGGAAAAATCCCAGAACATATTAAATGGTAAATGTAAAATGAATTAAACATGTTTCTTGAAAAGCTTACTGGTGGGGTTTTTTCTGATAGATTTGTATTTGATCTTAGAGCTACAGAAATAAATCTTACTCATAATGATGCCTGTACAGCAATCTAGAAGTCACACTTTTTAAATGGTACAAGACAACAACACTCTTGTGTGCAGCTGTTGCAAATTGCTTCGTCTGCTTTAGCTACATAAATAAAGACATAGGACAGATCCAAAACTCTAATTATTCAGAGTTACCAACACTGAGAAGACCAAATGAGGAGTAAAAATGATACGTACAAAAGGCAAATGAGGCAAAATCTGATCCCTGTATTAACTCACCCAGTTAGACAGTTCTTGGTAAGCATCATTGAAAGGATGAGGATAGGTAGAAATGAGGATATGTAGAAAAGAAGAGAATTTCATAAGGAAAGACAGCCACCAGAAAATTTTAAAGTGCTTTAGTGTGAGTCAGTCTTCTCTGTTTTGTTTCTCTCCTTCCTCTAATTTTCTGAACCACATGTAAAAGTTGGCATTCTATCCTATACATGTTTCAGTAACATTAAGTGGTTGTGGTATCCACTCTGTATAATGTGTTGGAGCTCACTGAAACAATACACATTTATATCAGTAACTCCTTGGATACTGGGGAAATTAGTCCAGACTGGAAACCTTAAAAAGTTGCCCCAGAGGAACTAATATGCTTGCTCCATTGTTCTGATGGCCCTGGCACCTTCCTCTGTGTGCCTCCTGGGCATCGGGTGGGTGCTCTGTCACAGGGAGAGCCAGCGTCTCCTTTGGTGGGGCAGTGTGACACTTGGAGCGTGCCCTTAGAGGGAAAAAGTAAGTATTTGGGCTTAAAGACTGCCAAGAGTTTCTTTCCAGAGGACCAAACAGATCATGTGACTTTTGTTAGCAAGCATGCATCATATTTTATAAGGAACGTGACTACGACTACCATTCAACTGTGCTCCTAGCACTACAAAGGGCCACAAACCATGGGCGTGGCTCTCTGCAGCAGCAGAGGATGACCTGGGAGGGTATGAGTGTTGCTATTTTTCTGCTAAAACAAAAGTAAAAGATTACGTAGGTAAAACTCATCTTTTATTTAGAAACTCAAAACAGAGGCTGGCAGTTTAAATTCACATCTACTTTAATGTTAAAACAACATCTGCAGGGCCTCAGTCTCCTCCATGCCTTGAGGCTGAGGCAAATCTGCCATTTGTTCTTGCACTGAAATGGTCTTGGGTTTTATCACACCCCGCCTCACTGACTTGACATGACAACATCAGTACTTATGCAATCTGCATATCTCTCCATCTCACAAAGAAATTATTTTATCCTAAATTAAGCTTTCAATAAACCTTATAGAAGCCTGCTAATCCTTACCTCAACTGTTCTGAAAGTTTTTGTGAATTTTCTGTTGAAGGTGTATTTCCCACTCGCTAGTCACTGACTGCAGCTGTCCTAATTTTACCACCCACACATCCTTTTTTTTACCAGATATCACCTGGTGCTTCCAGGAACCTCACCCACACTCCAGGCCAATCACATGGGTATATTACTTTTGCTAATTAGCCAACCCACCCAGGCTGACCCAAAAAGACTAATTAGCATTACATTCCTAATCGAGGAATCTTACTCATGGTTTTTCAATGGTCTGTAGTAATCCAGGCCTTTTCAAGAGTCTTTCTTTCAGACAGTCAGAAACCTTGATACTTGATATTAAAGACAGGCTTTGAACCAGTCTTGTTTGCTGTCCCGAGCCAAGGCCTTTAATAAAATCCAGGCTGCTTCTAAAACACCAGTTGTTGGCAAATTAACTACAGACTGCTACTTCTCACTTCTCCAAGGTGGTATGCCAATGTAATTGTAAGAGCTGCTAGCTCCTCATAGGCAACATAATCTCTCTGAACAGAGATGCTGGACTAGACCTGTCCTGCAGATGTATTCACCCCTCTTGTTTTTTTTCTTTTTTCCTTTGTTGCCCAGCCTCGAAGCTCACCCTCCTACCACTTTCTTTTAGCACAAACATGTTTTCCTGCAGCACAGTTCTAATCTATGGCCTTGCCTACCGCTTAGTTCAAACATTGCAGGAATCAAGGATTAGAATGCAGAGCGTATCATGGCAAATGACCCTGAACAGATTCTTATTTGGATGCTCAGGGCTAAAGTGCAAAATTAGTAGTGCAGAAGCTAGAAACTACAGTGTTTAGTATGGTTTAGGATTACCTAAGAGAGGTGTGGTAACTGCTGCTGTAAGGAGCCCTTTTGGTTTTCATTTTATGAAACATAACTTTCATATCCCATCCAAATTTCCCAAAGAGAAGGGACTGCTGATGTTGATAGTAACATTATCTAGAACTGCTTATAGAATCTCTACTGTTCAAAGGGGATTTACTGTTTATATAACTGTTTTGAAAAAACACAACTTTACTTGTGGAAACCTCTAAGCCACATGAATGCTGCAAGCATACTGTAGTGATTTCTCAACTCTGGGTATACAATTGATGCTTTGGTTTCAAAATGGTCTTTAAGAATTTTGGCTAAAAGTTAATTATAGCCAGAGCAGAAAGCCCATTGCTTGTCTAGATAGTTGTCTCTAGATATCTCTAGCACTTCCTTCCTTTCCATACTTAACTGAAACAGTCTCCTTAGAATTTCAGTGGTAGAACTAGAGGAAAGTACTGTTTGTTCTTCAAAGCACGTCGTATTAGAATTTGATCAGTGGTATTACTTCTTTTTTCTACCTTGTATATTCATATAAATGCAGATAAGATTCATATATACTTGAATTTTGAATAATGAGAAAAATGTCAAAATGGGTGGGAGCAAAACCAGCAACTTGGCAGGGAAATAGCCCTTGGGCAAAAGAGATGCTAAACTAAGTCCCAGCAAAAATTGATTTTGATTTGGCTGAGTTAGAAGATTTTGTGAACTGTAGTTGGAGCACATATACTTGTTTTTAGGCTTTGTTCAGTTTTCTTTTTAATGCAGTGATAGAAGCTTTTCATAGGTATTTCAATATTTGAAGGGAAAGCCATATTTTTTCAGGTCAAGAAGTAGATGGATCAACTGAGAACTGCCAAAATACGAGCTCAGTTAGATCTCATAAAAGAACGAGAATAAATAGTAAAGCAATTAAGTAACAGAAGAACTGAGAAAAAATGTGATTGCTAAGGAGAGAGGTAATTTAGATAATTTAAGTAGGGTGTCAATAGTAAATGAATGTTTGAAGTGTCATAGATTATGACAAACACAGGAGCAAAGGCAAGATGGCCGGTGGAATAAAAGCTAAAAATGAGATGGAGGTAAAAATCAAGGATCTTCCTGGGCTCTTATTGATGACATTCTTCATGTCAGAAATCAAAACCAGCTAATTCATGAAATACAGAATTCCACATCAGATATCTCTGACAATTGGAAACGTACAAGTTACTCTGGAGAAGATTAAGCACTCATACTACAGGAATTACATTGTGGGTAAGGAAGTGGCTACTAAGTAGACTGGCAGTTATTGAAGAAAAACTAATGGGAGGGATATAACTGGGATGTGGAATTCAAGTAGAATTTTCATTAATGAAGTTGGTACAAAAGCGTAGGTGTGTGCTACTAAAACCGGTAGATGATACAAAGCTGGAAGACTACAGGACCAAAATAGCCTAAAGGAAGAATTAAATTGATGAGTGGAGTTAGAAAAAGAGAAAGAGAAAGAAAAAAGAAAAAGAAAAAGAAAAAGAAAAAGAAAAAGAAAAAGAAAAAGAAAAAGAAAAAGAAAAAGAAAAGAAAAAGAAAAAGAAAAAAAAAAGAAAAAGAAAAAGAAAAAGAAAAAGAAAAAGAAAAAGAAAAAGAAAAAGAAAAAGAAAAAGAAAAAGAAAAAGAAAAAGAAAAAGAAAAAGGAAGAGGAAGATAAAGAGAAAGAGAAAGAGAAAGAGAAAGAGAAAGAGAAAGAGAAAGAGAAAGAGAAAGAGAAAGAGAAAGAGAAAGAGAAAGAGAAAGAGAAAGAGAAAGAGAAAGGAAAAGAAAAAAGAGAAACTTCAATGCA